GGCTGCGTGCTGGATCGAGTGGGAGGTCGGTGTGCTGTCATGCGAGGGGTGGGTGACAATGGGCCGTCCTTCTTCCCCCGTGCGTCTCTTTGCTTGGGATGATGTTAACATGTACCAGCTGGAGTGGGGAAAGAATGGTAGGAGGGAAGGGGGAAAGGAGGTAGGGAGAATGGTGGTGAGATGGGGAGGGGGTGGGCACTGAAGGAAACGAGTTACGAGGGCGAAAGTGGGAATCGTTCTGGAGGACGGGGTTTCAGAGGTGAGGGCAGAGGAGGAGAAGTATGAGGGAGAAACAGAGAGGGGAGGGGAGAGGGAGAGGAGGGGGGAAGCGGAGAGGATTAGAAGCGAGGGGAGTTGGAGGCGGGGAAAAGGATTAGGGGATAGGGAGAGGCGATAGGGATAAAGGAGGGTGTGGGATGAGGGAGAGGGTAGAGGGGAGGGAAGTGGGGAGAGGGGGAAGGGGGGAATGGGGAGAGGGGAGAGGGGAGATGGGAGAGGGGTGAAGGGAGAGGGGAGAGGGGAGAGGGGGGAGTGGAGATGAGAGGGGAAAGGGAATGAGGGAAGAAGTGAGAGGGGAGAGAGAGGAGTAGAGAGGGGAGGGGGTACGTGGAAGGAAATTGAGGGAAGAGGAGAGAAGGGAGTGGAAGGAAGGGGAGAGGGGAGATGGGAGAGGAGACAGGAGAGAGGAAAGAGGGAAGAGGGAAGAGGGAAGAGGGAAGAAGTAAGAGGGGAGAGGGGAGAGGGGAGAAGGGAGAGGGGAGAGGGGAGAGGGGAGAGGGGAGAGGGGAAGAGGGGAGAAGGGAAGTGGGGAGAAGGGAAGAGGGGAGAAGGGAAGTGGGGAGAAGGGAAGAGGGGAGAAGGGAAGTGGGGAGAAGGGAAGAGGGGAGAAGGGAAGAGGGGAGCGGTAGAAGGTGAATGGGGAGCGAGAAGAGGGTTGTGCTCACCTGAGCGCCTTGTGCTCACCTGAGCGCCTTGTGCTCACCTGAGCGCCTTGTGCTCAGCGTCGTGCAGCTGTCGCTTCCTTGTCTGCTGCGCCAACACCTGTGGCGGCTGCATCGCTTCCTCCAACATCTGCCACTGCTGCGCTATCACCGCCCTCACCTCCTCCTCCTGCTGATCGTGATGCCCCCCCTCCTCCTCCTTCTCTTGATGCCACTGCTGTGTTAGTGCCTGCGTTGTCTCCTTATTTTCCTCCTCCTCCTCACCCCCTTCCTGCGGAAGATAATGTTTCGTCTCCCTTCGTTGCTGTTCCTCCTTTTGCTGCTTCTCCTGACGTTCTTGATTCTGATTATGCTCCTGCTCTTGCTTCTGCTCCTGCAGCAGCTGTTGCTGCTGCTGCAGGTGTGCAGGGGAGGGCGGCAGAGGAGAGGGGGTGTGCGGAGAAGGGCAGGAGAGCGCTGCAGGGTCTGCGGCATCAAGGCGGAATTCGGAGAGACCGGCGGAGGAGTAGTAGCTCCGGTGACTGTCCCCAGTGAGACCAGAGACTGAAGCAGCCCCGGAGTGCGGAGAGATTAAGTGCTGCGGCTGCTCGTTCAGGGTCGTGGGTTGAGTGGCAGCCGAAGGGGAAGGGCTGGCGCTTTGAGGTGGAGAGGCGAGGGGGGGTTGGGCAGGCGTGGGGGGAGATGCAGGCGTCATCACGGGGGAAACTGCGGGCGAGATGCGAGAGGCCGGCATGAGAGGAGCGGCAGCAGCTGGTGCAGCGACGGAGGAAACGGGAAGAAGTTGTGTCGGCAGTGGCAGGAGCGGCAGTGAACTTGTCGCCGGAAACGGCTGCGGTGCGAAGGGCGCCTGGCCTCGAAGAAACTTTCTGCGGAGGGTTCACAGTGGTAGAGAGCGAAGACAGAGGAGTGCGAAGCGGTTGAGTGCGGTGAAGTGGGGTGAGTACTATGAGCACCAGGGTGAATTCTGTGCAATAAGGTGGGTAGAGTGGACAGGGATGATAACGAAGAGCAAAGACGCAGGGTTTAGTTCAGCAGAAGGTATTTACGTCTCTTCTGGCTTCCTGTGCACTTTTTCAGGAGCAGGAAGCAGTTGAAGCAGCCTTCGCGTCACGGCGAGACGATTTTTGAGGCCCCTCAAAATTCGTCTCACAAATTGATTACTACTACTAGTAGCTTCGGGCACACCTTTTGAGCAGCAGGAAGCGGTTGCAGCAGGCCTTGGCATCGCGGTGAGGGGCCAAACGCCTGCTTCGGTGTAAGTCATGCCACTTGGAGCTTCCATGTGTCATGACGTGGTTGAGCAGTATCGTGTCCTCCTGTAACGGGGATTTCGAGAGTGGAAGAAGTCGCATTGAGAAAAAATTAGGCCTTCATTCAAGCTCAAAAGGCTAGTACATTTGGCCAGCCAGACTTGCACTGGCCAAGCTTTGTAACCATGCTCTGACAAAGCTTTTTCAGAAGCAAGCTCCGTATAGAAACCTAGCTCTGTTTAAAAGCAAGCTGAAGAATCAGGCTGTCAAAAAACAAGTTCTGTTAGAGATCACCTGCCAAAAGCAGACATAAATTATCGAAAAAAGAAACAGAATTTGTCATAAGCTTCATCAAAACAAAGCTCGTCCAAACCAAGCACAAAATTCTGTCAATAACCACTCTCTGTCTAACACTTTTTCTGTGAATAACCAAGCTCTGACAAATTTAAAAAACCGTCTAACCAACCTCTGTAGAAACCCAGTTCTATGATCAAGCCCAAGCAGAATTCAATTGTGTGTGATCAATGCATGATTTTTAGTACCTCAAAAGTCCATCGTGCAGCATAATGCCGCTGCGTGACATGCGGAGATCTGGCCGCCATCATCATGGCTGTAATATCTCGGCCTGATGAATTCCGAGTGCGGATGGAGAATCCTTCGCTGGTGCCTTGGTAGTAGTAGGCTCCTGAAATTGGCCTGAGCTCAGTGAAAACCAGATATTTTGGTCCAGCTCCGGAGTCTGGATAATCCTGTTCACTCTCCCAGGCACATTAGTAGCACTACTACTTCGTAGGGGCGAGCCCTGCCTTCTCAGAAGCGCAAGCAATGTAGGTTAAGATGAACAGAAGTACTGCCACTGTTCCAGAGGAAGATGGATCGTGGAAGTATTACTAGTACACACGACACGAATGTTTGGAAAAACAGCCTCTGAGAAGAGAAAGACAGAGGGGTTTTGCTCAGTTTTGGCGGCAGAATGAGGATCACCACCACTGGCACACTGATTTCTGCGGCGGGGTGAGGAGGAAATGTGCAAGCCCAGGTGGAAAGCAGGGTAGTGTATCCACGTGGCTGATTCTGATTCCGCCTCTGCCCTTTGGCATTGCTGAAAGGCCCATCACCTGAACAGTTTTTTAGCGGCGCCAGCTCGGCTGATAATGGACAAGGCGACGTCGCAATAGCTGATACAGTGGCAGTTACGAGTAGCTGAGCACTAGAACCAATGAGGACCTAGAAAGTTCCCATCACGATGGAAGGCGTGAGAGATATTTGGTGGACAATGCATGCCATGCCGCGGCACTGCACGGCTGGGCCCTGGCACCAAGCGGTGGTTTGTGTGGCAGGTGAGTTCCTCTTCTCTGTTTGCCGGGGCCTGGGACCTTCTGCCTGCCCTACTCGACGTTAGCGGGTTTGAATTTGAAGCTTCGACTTGTGTTTTGGGGAAGAGGCACACTGTACGAGGACGTTTCCGGTCCGGATAATGTGCACGGCTTGGAGCAGCATGATCCAGGCATGCTTGATGCATCAGCTGTATTACGTTTCAAGCGCTGTGTCCCGCTTGTGCTACTTGCACCACACACATGCCGCAGCAGCGAAACGCATAAGGACCTCCCTGCCAAGCAACAAACAGATCCCAAATTCCCGCTCTCAATTTTGAGCTACACCGTGTCTCTGTTGCCCCTGACGTTTCGTTCCCTGGTTTTCCAGCATTTCTACCCGAAAATGTTTCATTACGTGTATTGCACCCCCACAGAGAAATTTCATGCGTCTAGTGAAGGTTCGTTTCAGACAAAACTACCACCGAATTACTTGTCGCTGAGCAAAGAGCTGAGCAGCAACGGGTTGTACAGTCCACAATGTCGGTGATTTTAGGATAACAAATCTCCCCTCTTTGGATTGCGGGGTACAGTACGTACACCTGAAATCGATCAGCTGTGGCCAAGCCAGACAAATCCCATCACGAGTCGCGTAAAATGGCATATGCGAATAAATTCCACAAAAGGCATCTCTTGTTAGCATCGAGTCGCACGCCAGCTAGGCGCCGCACAAGCTTGAGTGGAACGCGTCGAACGGTTGGATCGTCCACATCATCAAACAGAGTGCACGATCGTCGTAGAATGACGCCAGCATCAGCAATGATAAACCCATGTGGCATTTCGGTACACGCTCCATCGCTCGCAAACGAAGTGCGTGTCGCACCTACAATATCAGACGCGGTACAAGGAAAATCATTTGTGGTGTTTGTTCCCCGACACTAATAACATACACGCGTGCCAAATCCGCTGTGGTGAAAAAAACATTTCTTTGAGTCAAATGTAAAATTCTCCCCCAAATAGCATAGGCATTTTGTAGCTGAACAAACGATGACCTACCCAGAATTCCAGGCCAGGTGTGTGACATACCAAAAAGTGGAAAGAATATATTCATACTTCAACGAACATCAAAATTTGTAGGATCCATGTACATCTAGCGGATGTGGTGGACACTCACTCCAATTTACAAAACACATCAGCTGACTAAATTGGCGGAGTTCAAGAGCACAGAATTGTTCCATGTCTGGGGCAGCAGCACACGCTATGGTACCGTACTCAGCATGACTGAGTATGGTTTACGACCTGTGTTACTTATTTTAACAAGAAAACAAGAGAGGAAGATAATGTAAGGCCTAAGAATCAACCACCGACTGTAGACAGACAGCAGAGGTACCGGCGTTTCTAGGTATCAAACCGACCTTTTCAGATATTTAAGAGGTAACAGCCAAGTATCAAAGGAAGATACCGGCCTTTATAAGGTATCAAAGCCACTGTACGACTTAAGAGGGGGCGCCAAGGAAGGCAGCAAGGCGCAGAAGGTCGCTGAACACACCCCCCGCAGTGACCTCTGCGCCGGCACCAGGCCCGCGGACGATGAGGGGCTGCACGTTGTAGCGGTAGGTGACGAATGAGATGATGTTGTCTGAGCCCACTAGCTGCGTGAAGGCGTGTGTGCGCGGGTACTGGCGCAGCTCCACCCGCCCCTCCCTCTTGTCCATGTCCACCACCCCTACGTAGCGCAGGACCTGGAGGAAGAGGGGGGATGATTGGGCGAGAGGAAGAAAGGGAAAATAGGTCCCGCGGATGAATGATATGGGGTACTGGTACCGCTCCCTAGGTCCATAGCGCAGGACCTAGGGAAGGGGAGGGATGTGTGGAAGGTATGGTAAGAGGACAAGGAGAGGAAACAAAAGAGAGGACGAGAGGAAGCGAAGGGGAGAGGGAGATGAGGTGGAGCAAAGGAAGGAGATGATGTTGTTGGAGGGAACCAGCGGCACCAGCATCACCAAGGAACACTTGCAACGCACAGGATTGAGCAGGACAGCTCGAGAGCATACAACCTACAGTCGCCGCACCCACACTCACCTCGCCCGTCTCCTCGGCCGCCTTTCTCTTGGCCTCCATCTCATCGTCGAATTCAGGCAGCCGCTGCATGAACTCGTCCACACTCGCCACGTGCTGCCCGACACACAAAGGGGGTGGGGGGGAGAGGAAAGGGGGGGAATAAACGGGGTTGAAGGGGAGTTAGATGCCCTTCAAGAAAGAGGGCTGCTGTTTCAGCCTATTCGTAGATTCTAGTTACCGTAGTGTGTCGTTACACTTAAAAAGCTCGATTGCCATACCTGGAATGCTTCAACATCGTGTCTGACAAGCCTCAATACCATGCCTGAAGAACCTACTGTACCTCGAGAGGCTTGGTACCGTACCTGGAGAGCCTCGGGCACAAGGCTTTTCACGGGTACTTGGTCGAGCTCCAGGCGAAGACCACACTCCCGAGCCAAGATGACCACCTGTGAGTGGAGAGAGAACAGGGATGAGTGGGGTGGGTGGGGGAGCGAGATGAGTGGGATGAGGAGACAGTGAGTTCCTATATTCTGCCATTTAATCTGCCGTGCTACCATCCTCTCAATGCTCCACCTTCCTGACCTTCCTTTTCACGCCCTCCTCACCTCACCATGCCCATGCGCTCGAGGTCATCTGTAGGGTCCGACTCAATGGATCATTTGCACCCCTCCCATCGCTCCTCTCACCTTCCGCGCCACGTCCATGCCCTCCAGGTCCCTGGGATCAGGCTCCGCAAACCCGTTGGCACGCGCCTCCGCCACGATCAACACTCACCCCATCAGCTACTAAGCGCCCCTCACCAACCCGCATATTCTCTTTCACGCCCTCCTTCTCACCTTCCTCGCCACGTCCATGCCCTCCAGGTCGTCCCTGGGGTCAGGCTCAGTGAACCCGTTGGCGCGAGCCTCTGCCACGATCTGCGAGAAGGGCTTGCTGCCGTCAAAGTTGTTGAAGATGTAGCTCAGCGTGCCGCTGGTGGTGGGGAAAGGAAGGAGGGGTTAAAGGGGGAAAAGGGGGAGGGGGGGAAGAGTAAGTGCGGAATAGGGGGGAAATAGGAGCGGAGGAGGTGTGAGAGGTTTCGTGCGCAAACGGGAAACACTTCACACGCTCAATGGGAGACCATCTCCCAACTAAAGTTGCCTCAGATGCAGTGCATGCACATGAGTCAAGCAGCCACTTGGGATTGCTTACTATGCCTGCTATACACGTGCAGTCGCCTACCTCTCATCCATGGCTCATCTGAAGATGCCTTCGATGCAGTGAATGTGATTGCCTGTGTCCAACGGCCCCTTGAGCGTCGCCACAATGGGCAGCTCTTGGGAGCGCCTACAACACACTGCTATGTGCATGCGAGCACACACCACAAGCATCCACTCGTATCCCACTGCACACCTGAAGTTGCCTTCGATGCGCTGAATGTGGTCGCCCGTGTCCAGCCGCCCTTGGGTGTCGCCACTATGGGCAGCCCTTGCGCCATACAGCCACATTCCACCCCACACACACCCACACCATGAGTTCAACAGGCCCACTAGCAGGCCTATTCCCCACACCTGAAGTTGCCTTCGATGCAGTGAATGTGGTCACTCGTGTCCAGCAGCCCCTTGGGTGTCGCCACGATGGCAGCCCGTGGGAAAGCGCCTACAACTTGTAGCTATGTATCGCGAAGCGAGCACACCACAAGCATCCACCCATATCTCTCTGCATCCCTCTGCACACCTGAAAATGCCTTCAATGCGGTGGATGTGGTCGCCCGTGTCCAGCAGCCCCTTGAGTGTCGCCACGATGGGCAGCCCCGCCCCCACAGTGGCCTCATACAGGTAGTGCGTGCAGAGCTCGCGCTGCAACTGACGGATCTTGAGGTACTGGAGGAGGGGAGACATAGGGCAAGAAAGAGGTGGGAGAGACGGGTGGTGGGGAGGGAAGGATGAGCGGGCAGTGGTGCGACACCGGCTCCCACGGTAGCCTCATGCAGGTAGTGCGTGCACAACTCGCGCTGCAGCTGACGAATCTTGAGGTAATGGTGGAGAGGAAGGGAAGGGAAAGGGATGGAACGGGGGAAGGAGTGGACGGAGTTTGTGAACAGAGAGGTGGGAGGAGTGGAGGTATGGCACTAGCCCGGCTCCCACAGTGGCCTCGTACAGGTAGTGCGTGCACAGCTCGCGCTGCAACTGACGGATCTTGAGGTACTGGAGGCAGCGTGGGGAGGGTAGGAGGAGGAACGGGGAGAAAAAGGTTCGGTGCTGTGCGAATCGTGCAACGCAGCACCTGCAGCTACGTGACTTTTGAGACGTCTCAAAAGTTGCAACGTGGCACCTGCACTGCAGCCATGATGGGTAGTACAGTCCACCACCACCAGCCACGATGGGCGACCCGCTAGAGACGCCCTAGGGAGCCGCACCCCTGCACTTTGACCGTCTAGCCCTCTAGTGTCTGGAGTGTTATCAGTGGCCGTACCTCTTTAAGAGGCCCGGAATTGGCCTTCTTGTTGGGGGTGACCACGTGAAGCCCCTCAGCGAGCCACGTGGGGTATTTGTCCGCCACGTCGCTGCTGGCAGTGCAGTCCACCACCACTGTGTTGGGCGATGGGGCATGGGGAATGGGCGGCACCTGTAGACGCCCTAGAGAGCCCTAACCCCCGTGCCTTGACCATCTAGCCTTTTAGGTTCTGGACTGCTAGCAGTGGCCGTACCTCCTTGAGGGGTCCGGAGTTGGCCTTCTTGTTGGGAGTGACCACGTGGAGCCCCTCAGCGAGCCACGTGGGGTATTTGTCCGCCACGTCGCTGCTGGCAGTGCAGTCCACCACCACCGTGTTGGGCAGCCCGTGGTGGCCGTCCATCAGCGACGCCTCGAACGCCACCATGTCTGCTGCCTCGCCTCTCGTCTCCAGCTCCTCCCGCCAGTTGCTCAGGTGCACGCCTCTGGAACGGGAGCACAGGGGGTGTGGAGGAAAGGAGGGAAAGCGGGCACGTTTAGACGCGCCTGGAACCGGGGGGAAAGGCCTGAGGAGAGTTGGGAGGAGGCGGGAGGGGCGAGTGTGCGGCTGCTGGCAGTGCAGTCCACCACCACCGTGTTGGGCAGCCCGTGGTGGCCGTCCATCAGCGACGCCTCGAATGCCACCATGTCTGCCTTCTCGCCCCTCGTTTCCAGCTCCTCCCGCCAGTTGCTCAGGTGCACGCCCCTGCGGGGGTGGGGGAGGTGTGGTGTGGGAGGGGCAAGGGAGTAATTGAGCAGCTGGCGAAGGGAGGGGGGGGAAGGGAGACGAAGAGCAAAGAGCAACTGCTGCAGGGCAGCTCACCACCTCCGAGTTGCACCGCCCATTCTCCCCCGTCTGGTGAATTCGACTAAATTCAATAACATCCTATTCGCCCCCAATAACGACACCCCACCACATGAGTCTCTCCCTCCCCCCGCACCCACCTCCAATCCCCTCCCAAAACATACTCGTCCTCTGCTCCCTGATTTGACGTAATCCACCACAGCCCACCCCGAATCCCCGCCCCCCCCCTTCCCCTCAACCGCCCTCACCTGTTATCGATGAGCATCCTATTCGCCCCGATGATGCCCAACACGCCCTCTGGTCCCGTAACTCAACCACCCTCTGGCTTCAGCCCAAGCACCCACAGTACCGCCCTCACCTGTTATCGATCAGCATCCTGTTCGCGCCAATGATCCCCACCACGCGCATGTCAACGCTAAACTCCTTCTTCAGGCTCGCCCGCTGGTCCCTGATCTGATCCAGCAGCGTGCCGCCAATCAGCCCCGGGCCAATCAGCGCCACCGCCAGCGGAATCTGCGAGTGGTAGAACCGCCCGTGCGCCGCCCGCAGCGCCGCCACCGCATCACTCCGATCGACCACCACCGTGATATTATACTCCGAGCATCCCTGCGCGATTGCACGCACGTTCACCCGCGCCTTGGCCAGCGCGGCGAAGAGAGCAGCCGAGACCCCCGGAGTGCTGGCCATGCGCTGCCCGACGGCTGCGAGGACTGTGCAGTGCGGGATGACTTCGATATCGTGCACGCGATTTGATTCGATTGCGCGGCGGAAGGTGGTGCGCAGGGCCGCGGCAACCATGTCGGCCTCGGGTTCCGGGACGGCGAAGCACACCGAGTGCTCTGAGGAGGCCTGTGAGATGGCGATGACGTTGGCCCCCACGTTCTTGACTGAGTTGAAGATCTGACTCGCGATACCTGGCACCCCTGCCATGCCCGTGCTGGAGTGAGGCAGGAAAGGGAGAGGGGGGAACAAGGGAAGGGGAAGGGGAAAGGAGAACAGGGGAATGGGGTGAGAAAGAAGGGTTAGTGAGGCTGCCAGATGGTGGGGTTAAGCGGCGGCCACCATGTCGGCCTCGGGCTCGGGCACGGCAAAGCACACCGAGTGCTCTGAGGAGGCCTGTGAGATGGCGATGACGTTGGCCCCCACGTTCTTGACTGAGTTGAAGATCTGACTCGCGATACCTGGCACCCCTGCCATGCCCGTGCTGGAGTGAGGCAGGAAAGGGAGAGGGGGGGAACAAGGGAAGGGGAAGGGGAAAGGAGAACAGGGGAATGGGGTGAGAAAGAAGGGTTAGTGAGGCTGCCAGATGGTGGGGTTAAGCGGCGGCCACCATGTCGGCCTCGGGCTCGGGCACGGCAAAGCACACCGAGTGCTCTGAGGAGGCCTGCGAGATGGCGATGACGTTGGCCCCCACGTTCTTGACTGAGATGACGACCTGACTCGCGATACCTGGCACCCCTGCCATGCCCGTGCTGGAGTGAGGCAGGAAAGGGAGGGGGGGGAACAAGGGAAGGGGAAGGGGAAGGGGAAAGGAGAACAGGGGAATGGGGTGAGAAAGAATTGTTAATGAGGCTGCCAGATGGTGGGGTTGAGAGGCGGCGGCCACCATGTCGCTATACCGGGCACCCCTGCCATGCCTGTGCTGGGGGTGGGGCGAGGGCAGAGGGAAAGGGAGAAGAGGGGAGGGGACGATGGATGCGGGAAGAAGGGAAGAGAAGATGAGATTTGTTGGGTGGGGTGGGGTTTAGCTTCATTGTGCCGTACGAATTTCGTCCAGACAAGTGGCCAACGCTGCAGCACAACGGCACATGAGTGAACCAAACAGAAGGACTCACCCAGGCACGTTGACGAGCGCCACGTTCTCAATGGTGGCAAAGCCCTTCACGACGGCGTCAAGCGCGTCCGTGCCCTCCTCCAGCAGCTCGTTGTGCGCCGCCTCGTGCTCCTCGTCCGAGAAGGCGTCGTGGGAGCGGCCAACCCAACAGCACGACGGCACACTGGCACCATGGGGTATGATATGAACGGACCCCAAGGACTCACCCAGCCACGTTGACGAGCGCCACGTTCTCAATGGTGGCAAAGCCCTTCACGACGGCGTCCAGAGGGTCAGCCCCATCCTCCAGCAGCTCGTTGTGCGCCGCCTCGTGCTCCTCGTCCGAGAAGGCGTCGTGGGAGCGGCCGATGCGCGTGCCGGGCGCCGTGGGGTTGAAGGCGTTGCGGATGAACATGGGGATGGCGTACTTCATCACCGGCAGGGTGGTGCGCGGGTGGAGCACGTTGGCTCCAAAATAAGACTGCAAACATAGGGGGAGAGGCAGGGAACAGGGTGGAATGCATTGCGGATGAACATGGGGATGGCGTACTTCATCACTGGGAGGGTGGTGCGCGGATGCAGCACGTTGGCTCCGAAGTAGGACTGTTGAGAGGGTGATGTGCAGGAGGGGAAAGGGAGGGCGGAAGTGGATGCTATGTAGTGTTGCTTGATACTACTATGCTACTAGGTTATGTGATGGAATGCTGTATCACGCTGTGGTGTGGATCGTAGTGCCACAGCATGCTATAACATAATCTTCTAGGTTTACCACCTCCAAGGTGCCACACCCCATACCCCATACCCTATATCCCATAGCCCATACCCCTTGCAACATGTCCGTGCCCCTTGCAACATGTCCGTGCCCCTTGCAACATGTCCGTGCCCCTTGCAACATGTCCGTGCCCCATGCCCCATGCTGATGCAACGTCTCACGGCTTACCAGCTCCCACGCCTCTTGGTAGGAGAGGTTCTTGAGAATCACAGCATCAGGCACTGGAGACGGAGCGAGTGGGGAGGAGGGGGCGAGAGGGGGAGAGGGGAAGAACAAGGAATGACGAGAGAGACAAGTGAGGGAGTAGGCATGATGGCTTACGGGGGAGTAATGCTGTAGCTCATGAGCTAGGAAGGCACCCCACCCTCTTCCATCTCTCCCCCCCTTACACTCCCACACTCACACACACCTTTCCGGGGGTCAGCGGAGTACACGCCATCCACGTCCGTCCAGATGATCACTCTCCCAGCGCGCAGCAGCGACCCAAAGATGGCCGCAGACAGGTCACTCCCATCTCGCTTGAGCGTGGTGGGCACGCCGTCCTCTGTGCGCGCAATGAACCCCGTCGCCACCACCAGGTCCGGGCCCCCGCCCTCATAGTGCCCGTCGTCCCCCCTGGCAGCGTACCAGGCGTGAAGGTTCTCCTCACAGCGCTCGTAGTTGGGATCCACCTGGGGTGGGCGATAGAGGATCAGGAGCAGAGAGGGACAGGAAAACGGTGGGGAAGGGGAAGGGGGGGAAGGGGTGGTGGGGATGACACTAAGTCACCGCCGTCCCTCTTGAGCACTAAGACACTAAGGGGTGGTGGGCACGCCGTCCTCTGTGCGCGCAATGAACCCCGTCGCCACCACCAGGTCCGGGCCACCTCCTTCATAATGGCCATCATCGCCCCTGGCAGCGTACCAGGCGTGCAGATTCTCCTCACACCTCTCATAGTTGGGATCAACCTGGGGTAGCATGACAGGGCACGTGGTGCATGTACGAGGTGATGTGGCTGACGCCCAACGCAAGATTGCCGCCCAGACTTATACCTGACAGCCGCCCAGAAGCGTACCTGACAACACCGCCCAATATCAATCACCTTACATATTTTCCCGCCCACAATTGCACCGGACTGCCACCCAGAATCAACCACCGTACTTGACTGCCGCCCAGAATCAACCACCGTACTTGACTGCCACCCAGAATCAACCACCGTATTTGACTGCCACCCAGAATCAACCACCGTACTTGACTGCCGCCCAGAATCAACAGCCGTACCTGATTGCCGCCCTCCGCTGGGTGCACCACGAGCACGTCGCGCGCATCCATGAACGCCACCTTCTTGCCCGTCACCTGGGGTAATGGGGGGAGGAGAGGGTGTGAGGGAAGAGGGGAAAGAGGATGAGACGATAGAGTGCTGACTGCACGTCGCGCGCATCCATGAACGCCACCTTCTTGCCCGTCACCTGGGGTAATGGGGGGAGGAGAGGGTGTGAGTGAAGAGGGGAAAGAGGATGAGACGATAGAGTGCTGACTGCACGTCGCGCGTATCCATGAACGCCTCCTTCTTGCCCGTCACCTGGGGGGAGAGGGGGGAGGGGGGAGGGGACAGGGGACAGGGAAGGGGAAAGAGGAAGAAGAGGTGGGAGGGAGTTAGGAAGGGACACGGGAGAAAAGGGGAAGGGGTTGAGACGGCCTCCATGCTAAGGGCACATCAAGAGCTTCCCCAATGCCGCGAGGGAGGAGCACACATAGAAGAGAAACCCCTCTCTGCCTTTTTTCAGCGTAGCACGGAGGAACAAAAGCCAGTGTGGTGTTGCATGGCATACAGCGGCTCTCACCTTGTGCAGCGGCTCTCACCTTCATGGCGTCCCACCCTCCGTAGCGTGGCATGTCATGCAAGGGCTCTCACCTTCTGCAGCGTGGCGGTGAGGATCATGGCGGACCAGAGCTCACCGTGCCACACGATGAGTGTGAGCACGCATGAGGAGTACCTTCCTGCCCTGCCCATGTACCACGCGCCATGCCATGCAGCCGCTCTCTCTCACCTTCTGCAGCGCGTCTCACCTTCTGCAACGCGTCTCACCTTCTGCACCGTGGCGGCGAGGATCATGGCGGACCAGAGCTCGCCGTGCCCCACGATGAAGTCCGTGAAGATCTCCGTCGACGTGCCCGCTGGTAGAGGGGGAGAGAGAGGGGAGGGGATTCCGGGGGAAAACAGCAGGATGAATATTTTCCGTGGTGCTGCCCGGTGGGGAGAGGTGAAGAAAGGCGGGGTGGGGGGAAGCCGGAGGGCGGCGGAGCGTGAGGAGAGCGGGAGGGGAGTATAGAGGAGGACCATTGAACACGGATTCTTACACGCACGAAGGTTTATTATGTCCTCGTCACTATTATCCATCCTTAGCCGACTACAGTTCCCATGTCTTAAACGCACTCCTCACCAATGAAGATTGCTCTCAGCATGGCTTCCAGGTTGGGCATTCCGTCCTCGATCGCCCTCTCCGTGATCTTCCCACTCTTCTCATGCATTCGGCCCCTCTACTACTCACCGATGGAGATGGCTTTAAGCATGGCTTTAAGGTTGATCAGGTCCTCATCAATGCGCTCCAGGATCTTCTTCGTCTCCTCGTCCTCCTCCCCCAGCAGCTCCGCCGCCGCCGCGCGGTGCTTCTCGCGCAGCTGCGCTATAAGCTCCGCCCACCCGCTCACGTCCTTGGCGGCCGCCTTGTCCAATAACGAGTACAGAATGTTGGTGACCTTGGGAGTGCCGCCCATGGCCGACACGACGACGAAGCGACGCTCCGCGGGGTCGCTGGCGACGATGCGTGCGACGTTCAGGATTCGCTCGGCGGATCCCACGCACGTGCCGCCGAACTTGTGCACGGACCAGCTGCCGCCCTGCGGCATGGTCATGTCCGCCACCTCAAAGTCCGTGTTGATGTCCTCTGCGGAGGGACGCAGGTGTGGGAGAGAAGAGAACCGGTACAAAGAGAAACAGCTCTGCGATGATGCCCCCTGAGAGCCAACCGCGCGTTCAATTGTATGGAAATCGGAGAAAATCGGATGAAATCGAACTAGGGGTTCGATAGAGATCCTGTCACTAGTTGCTCTAATGGAAATCACTCCAAGACGCATTTTGCGAGAAAGCAAACCAGAATATGGAGGTCTTGACTCTGAGGTGCTTGAAAAACACATTCTGAAGGCACATTCCGTGAGACGACTCTGCAGGTCTGGAAGAAAACTCGGCTCTGGACTTGGCAGTGCTGCTTCTGTGGTGCGAACAGATGCTTTCGTAAGGGTGCGGCAGTAATCCCACCTAGCCCTAGGTTATGGCATCTTTCAAGGGATACAAACAAAGGAATTTATGGACGAGGTACCGGTTGAAACCCGTGTCGTCTCAAGGAGGATCAGACGCTTACCGGCAATAGCGGCGCGAACCGCGGTAGAGGGACGCGATGCAGGCACAGGAGCAGCCCTAGCGGTACTGCATTTATGGAGTGGGAAAGGCAGGGGAGACCGAGGAGATGTCAGAAATCTCGAGAAGCACGCCTACGTTGCCGGCACTACCTAGGTACAGAGTGGGTATGTGCCTACGGAGTAAACCGGAGAAACATGGATAACAAGACAAGTTTGAATCGCGAATACGGAGTTGAAACACCTTAGTGATCGAAAAAGCAGGGGAGCATGAAGTAAGGAGGGGAAGTGGTTAGGAAAATAAGGCCGTAAGAACATCCGCATTATCATCCGCATTCTCGGTTTCTTCTGAAGATTAGCCACATTCACCAAGCAAGCGACAGAAGAAGGCATCCTGGGTGTAAAGCAAAACAGGATATGCTTTGTAGCAATGCAACACGCACGGTTACGTTCTTTGCAAGATGAGCGCGTCCTATACAGAATAAAGACAGTGGCGTGTTATGTTCAGCGCACTCACCCCTTGAGCTTCTGCTTCGCAGCAGACTTGTTCGTTTTAGAAGCCTTGAGTCCATTGAATGATGGGAGAGCGCTTTCTTTAGCGGCGACCGTCGGGACGGATTTGGCAGGCGTGAGTCCCAACACCTTGGCACACTGGAGAGCAGCCATGGTTTCGTGATGACCCCACTATCTAAGCTTTTCCAATGTGCAGCGAGCTGGATCGGCAATGACAGATCGTGTTGCTGTGCCGAGAGCTCTGCAAGTCACAGATGAAAGATCCTGTGACGAAGTTATTGACTGGAGAATCTTCACACAATCCGAGAGGCAAAGAAGAAACGCTTCAGTGGGTTTGTTGGTGTTGCGTTGTACTAGCAGCCTTGGGATTAGCAGAGTTGGGAATATAGAATGACGAAGAAATCTGCTCGATGCGAAAACTGTGCGAAACGAATCGAGAAATTACCATGCTGCGTCGACTTCTCGTAACGGAAAGGAAACTGACGGCGACGAGGATTGACCCCGCATTCAGGACAGGTGAGCAAAGAGCTCCATCTTCACTGGATGAGGCTGAATGCCACGTTGGCTGCAGCCGAATCTGCACCCAGCTATTCGCGCGGGAAGGCCGCATCGTACTTGAAGCTCTCTTTCCATTAGCTGCGACGAGCCACCGTTCATTCGTAACTGGTTGTTCGAAAGCATGTGCCAAATCATCTCAATTGGATGATTTCGTAAACCAATCTAAGTATAAGCCCTCCGAGAAATGCTGGAAAGCCCTCGGCGCCGAACAAGAACTGTTGATCCAGTCGCCTTCCACGACAGCACGTGACAGGCTGGCGGAACTTCTGGATGTAGCCAGATCAGCAAAACCTTCCAAAAATCCAGCGACATTCCCATGTGCTAGTCATGCAATTTGTTCTTGTAACATCAACACGTATTGATTACACATTTCTAATTACATTTCAAGGTAGCACACTCAATGCTGCTGATTGAGAAATATATCAGTAGTAGGTGTGCGTATATTAATGCTGTTATCATATACACTCCTTTGCAAAAACAAAATCGTACAAGACATGCAGTCAAGCACTTGTTCTCTTAACAATAGCACTATCGCCTACAGCCATCTTGACCTCTCTTGATCCCCGCCCTTCTTTCCTGCTGGGTCGGCTAGTTTTGGCAGCAGGTGCACTAGTCGGGGATCTCTGGGCGGCAGACACAAGATACTCCTCCAACCTGAGCACATCCGCGCCCTCACTAGCAGACAAAAACGGAACAGTAGACTCGCACAAGGTGACAAACGCAGAGAACGGGGCGGCGCGAATCCCAAGCGAAACCATTTCCCTCGCAACCGCTTCCCTCACTCCCAACCTCTCTCCTCCAACTCCCATCCTCCCACCACCACCACCGCCGCTGCCGCCGCCGCCACCACCACCTCTGCCATTCCCCGCTCCTCCCAAAAGTGCTCGCCCCAAACTCTCCACCACCTTACCCAGATTCTCCACGTCCCTCTGCTTGCCACTCCCAAACCGCACCAAGGCAGCGCCGCTGTCAACCGGTTCCAGCTCCAGGGGAGTGTTGCGGCCCAGGGCTCCCCGCAGGAGAAAGCGCAGGCGCTGGTGGGGGAGGGAGGCGGGCAGACCCCACAGGAAGAGCACGTTGGAGCGGTCCTCCTCCTCCCTGCCGCTGCTGCTGCTGCTGCTGCTGCTGCTGAGGGTGCTGCGGGTGCTGGTGCTGGTGCTACTGGTGCTTGCGGTGCTGGTGGTGGGGGAGGAGGAGGAGGAGGAATACGGGGGTCCAAAGGGGAAAGTATCAAGGGAGGGGAGGAGGGGAGCGGCACGGGAGCCAATGGCAGCATGCCCCGTGGCGAGGTCCAGGTGGATGTCCCGTGCACCCTTACCTATGAGGGTCATGATGTTGGATAGTCCAGCCACTGCTGCTTCTGCTGCTGAATGTGCTGATTCTGCTGCTGTTGCTGCTGATTCTGATGCTGTTTCTGTTGCTGCTGATAGTTCTGATTCCGATGCTGCTGCTGATAGTTCTGATTCTGAAGCTGCTTGCCCAGTTGCTGTTGCTGCGCTTCCGTCGCTGCTTTCTTCACTGTGCTCCCTGTCAGCCTCTATCCTCCCACTCACGACCCCCTCTCCGCGCCTCCACCTCTCCACCACCCATCTCCTCCCTTCCCCCTCTCTCCCAAACTCACCTCTCCCCACCCCGTCTCCCTCCCCTTCTCCTTCTCCCCGTCTCCCTCTCCTCTCCTCTCTCCACCTCCCTGCCTCCTCCTTTGCAGCGGCAGCAGCAGCAGAAGCGGCAGGGGGGAGGGAGGAGAGTCGGTGGGGGGAGAGACCAAGGCGGTGGCAAGTCTGGGCGAACACCACTCCAGTCATGAACGCATCATATGCTGCCTCGTGCCTTGGATCCTGACCGTTGGATGCGGAATATCTGACGGTTCAGAAGGGGTGAGAAAGAACGTTACAAACGTGCAGTGGGTGGAGTGCACATGGCAAGCAAAGATGGAATGTTTTTTTTTGGAATTCTAAAAAATGGAGTGTACACCCCTGCTGTTGTAGGCATGTAGGTCTACTTGATAATTTCACCAAACATGGCTATAAACAGTGGGGGGATGGATGGCATGCCAACAGCTACAACACCTGATCTCACTCACTCTCCCACCTATTCTCATCCTCCTCTCCTCTCTCACCCCCTACATTCCTTGCTCACCCTCTCCTCCTCTTTCACCCTCCTCCTCCTCTCTCACCATCCTCCCTCGCCCCCCTTTCCCCCCTCTTTCCCTCTCTCCTTAATTCACCTGGCAGCCTCGTGACTGAACCGCACTCGCATGGGCGCCTCATCCACAAACGGAAGGTTCCTGGAAGCATCATAGAGAGCGCCCAGTGACGCCCGCCTGTTGGTGCTTGCAGCTTCCTGGAAGGTCCAGGGCAGAGAAGGAGGCGGTTGCTTAGAGAGACGAGAAGAAAAAGAAGGAGATTCGTTTTGAAACGCATCAGAATAGATCTCGTGACTTTCACGTCGCTTGCAGCTTCCTGTTGTTTGGTTAGAGAAACCTGCCTCCTGCAAGATTAAGGGCCAACTGCATTCCATACCACCTGAATCCCACCTGCTGCACACACACTTGCTACACAGACCTGCACACAATTGCGCTAGAAGAGTGCAGAGCAGCACAGTCACATGCACACCCCATGCACGGCGCCACACGGACCTGTGCTAGAAGCGAAGCAGAGCAGCACAGTCACACGCACCCGTTCCCGTTGCATGCCTGACATACCAATGCACGGCACCACACGGACCTGTGCTAGAAGCGAGGCAGCAGCAAGGCTGCTGGTGTCGAAGAGAGCGGGGAAGAGCCGGCAGACCTCGCGAGAGAAGAGCGCTGGGGAGGGCGGCACTCGGCCCACAAACTTGTGCAGAATGTGGGAGAGGTCTGCGTGGGCGGGGGACAGGTGAGATGGGGACGGATGTGAGTTGAGGAGGAAGAGGATGATGAAGGTGCATGGGAGGGTGGCACTCGGCCCACAAACTTGTGCAGAATGTGGGAGAGGTCGGTGTGGGAATGGGGGATGGGTGGAATGGGGATAGATGAGATGAAACCAGTGAACAAGCAAAGGTGCTGTGTAGGTGAAACCAATGGGTGGCACTCGACTCGACCCACACAGCTCTGGCGGACGAAGATGCTGTAGCTGAGAGGGAGTGTGGGAGCGCGGAACTCGCGGAGAGTATGGGGAGTTTTGGTGAACGAGAGGAGAGCGAGTGCGTGCATGCGTGAGCGAGTGTGTTGCGTGCGTGCGTGCGTGCGTGCGTGTTTGTGTGTTTTGTGTGTGTTTATGTGCACAAGAACGCACCAAGGAAGCAGCAGTGCCCCACCAGCGGCTTATTCTGGCATGCCCAGAGGCAAGGCATCCACCAAGCGCTTCACCCCCACTGCTCGTGGTGTGTGTGTGTGTGTGTGTGGGTGTGTGTGTGTGTGTGTGTGTGTGTGTGTGTGTATGTTGTGGGTGCGCGTGCGTGAATGTGAAGGCAAGTGTGCATGCGGGCACACACATACCAAGGAAGCAGCAGTGCCCCACCAGCGGCTTATTCTGGCATGCCAGAGACAAGGCATCCACCACTCGCCTCACCCCCACTGCTCTGCGCACCACTGCTGCTGCTCCGGCCTGCCGCAGCTCCAGCAGCCGCCCCTGCAGGCAGTGCAGCACAGAGGAAAGCGGCCAGAAAATGGAAAGAAGGGGAAAATGGTGACAGAGCAAGTGGATTTTTGCAGGCAGTGCAGTGAGAACGAAAGAAGTCAGAACATGGAAAGAAAGGTGAGAATGGAGGAGAATGGTGACACAGGGAAAACGGTGACAGAAGGGAGAATGGTAACGCTGTGAGTCGGTTATTGCAGCCTGCAGGTGTGGTGGAAGGGAGAATGGTGACAGAAAGAGGGAGTTGGTAACTACAGTTCCACTCCTACAGTCCCTCACCTGCTGCAGCCAGTCCCCTTCGCCTATTCTTGCATCGATATATAAATAAACAAATACACTCACCTGCAGGTCCTCAGCCTCCTCCTTGGACCCGCACAGGAAGAGCCGCACTCTCTTGTATGCACCAATCCGCTCCTCGTGTGACGTCAGATAGGGGTGCTTATAACGAATTGCCTGTTGATGAAGGTTCAGGCATTTGGGAAAAAAGGGGGGGAAGGGGGAGAAGAGGCGTGAGTGCGTGGTAATGAGCCGATTCCTTACGACTAGAAAATGACTTTTGAGGCGCCTAAAAAATGTCGGAGTGAGTGATGATGTTGGCAGAGGGAAAGGTGAAATGCCAAGCCGTGCCGTACCACCTCACAAGCGTACCACATTAAGCAAATGGCAAAACTTGTGAGGTGCCTCAAGCATAACTTATGCTGGAAACGATATGGCATGGCATTGACAAACAAGGCATGGCATGGCATGTCATACCATGGCATTGTTAGTGTTAGACCTCAATCTCACAGTTTGTATTTTGTACTTTCTATATCCTAGCGTAGTGTAGTTTTGCACTTTGAGTTTGGTTGGGTGTACACCAACATCCCAACCGAACCCAAATGTGATCTCCAAGCAATCTCCAACCCACCAATTGGAGATTGCCTTGGGATTACCCCCAATCCCTAGAGATTGCCCCTGATTCCCTTCCCATCCTTTCCTTGCCCATCCTGGATGTACTTAAAGAGCTTCAAGCGCATTACTAATGCATGGATTCTAAGCTCAAGTTCTGACAGGCATTGCATGGCATGTCATACCATGGCATCGCATGGTATGTCATACCATGGCATTGCATCGCATGGCATTGCATACATGGCACATCATCTCACCTGGTCGGCAGCATGGCAGTTAAATGCATCGTTGATTCGAAGAGAGAGCCACGGCCTCTTCCCCACCACTGCTGCTAACGCAGGACTGACGCTGCTCCCATCCCCTCCCACACCCCCTACCGCAGCCTCCCCTGCAAATTCCTCTACACCCTCCCCTGCACCCTCCCCACGCACGCCACTCGCAACAGCCCTTGCCAATAGCTGCTCCTGCTGCGCTGCTGCTCTCAAGCCCGCGAGCCACAGATCAACGCGGGCCAGGCTCTTCACTGCAAACTGCACGCCGGGGAACGGCGGGCTCGAGGGGTCGCTGCTGTTACTGCTATTGCGCCAGCTGTATCGGCTGCTGCTGCTGCTGCTACTGCTGTCGATGCTGCTGCTGGTGCTTGTGCTGGGTTGCGTGTAACTGGTGGTGGGTTGTGCCGCACCAAAGCTGCCTTGGTTCTTGTTGGTTGCTTTTGAAGATGGGGGAGGGATGTCAAGAAACTTCCATGCGGCTTCTTCTTGCTCGTAGGACAGGTATGAAATTCCTGTGGGTATGAACGGACAAGATTACACCAGTCATGTGGGTATGAGACGGGAAAACACTTGCATAAATGGATGCGTGGCTGCAAGGATGATAACTGCATGGATGCATGACTAGCACAGTTGCCACCACCAGCACCACCTCCCACCGCCACCCACCGTGGCGCACCCAGGAGTTGAAGTCGAGGTAATGTGCTGCCAGGAACTCCAACGAAGATGGCTGGCACTGGAAGGAGTGTGCTACACGCAACTCACCCCACCACCCCCCACCACTCTTCACCCATCACTAAACATCCCCACCCACCAGCACCGCGACCCACCATGCTGCACCCAGGAGTTGAAGTCGAGGTGGTGTGCTGCCAGGAAGTCCAAGGAGGATGGCTGGCACTGGAAGGCACAGCTTGCAGTCCCCTCACCTCACCCCACCCCACCCCACCAACAGCCTCACGACTCTTCACCCATTACTAGAAATTCCCATTCACCAGCACCACCACCCACCCCCACCCACCGCCACCCACCGTGGTGCACCCAGGAGTTGAAGTCGAGGTGGTGTGCTGCCAGGAACTCCAACGAGGACGGCTGGCACTGGAAGGAATGGATTACAGGCACCTCACACCACATCACCACCCCCCACCACTCATCACCCACCACACACCGTGGTGCACCCAGGAGTTGAAGTCGAGGTGGTGTGTTGCCAGGAACTCCAACGAGGACGGCTGGCACTGGAAGGAGTGTGCTGGCACGCCCTTAAACCCCGGGATTTCTGATCGTGGAAACACCTTGAAGTTGAACCTGAGGGGGGAGCGTTGCAGGCGAGGAGGAAAAGGGAGAGAGGGTGACGCCGCGTGTTGGCACTGGAAGGAGTGTGCCAGCTGGAACACCGTGAAATTGAACCTGGGTACACAAGAGGGGAAGGGTTGGGATAGCGGTGGATGGGGGCAGCGGAACGGGTGGGGTAGTGGTGGGGGGCGGGGGGAGGGAAGAGTGAGAAGGCTGAGCTGCAAAGGAGACGGCTTGCTGTTGCTGCGACCTTGACTAGACAGAATGCTCACGGGTGAACGATAAATTTACCTTTGCTGCTCGTCCCACTTGAACGTGCACACGCCTAGTTGCATCACTGCGAACTGCATGGCGCTGTGCCGCCCGTGCAGGCACTCACGGGTTCTCACTTGAACATGCACGCGCTCAAATGCATGATGCGTCACACTATCCAGGTACTCATGGGTGCTCAAATTCATTTGAACGTGATTATACAAGGATACTTACGGGTGAACGATGAACTCTCTTCTGTCTTCGTCCCACTTGAACGTGCACACGCCTAGCTGCATCACTGCGAATTGCATCGCGCTGTGCCGCCCGTGCAGGAACCGCGTTGCTACAGTGTCCGAATCCAACGGTCGCCTGAACGACCCCGAATCCAGACCGCTCATTTCTAGATCCAGACAAACGAAGTCAGCCGCTTGCAGCGCGGGTTGGAATTGGGTTTCGAACACCTCCTCGAAGTTGTCGCGGGTTACCGAGGCTACGGTGAGGTTCGGAGGCAGGTTCGGTGGCTGGTGCCGAGGCTCAGGTTTGGGTTGTGCCGAGCCTGGAAGTTGGACGGTGGAGATGCTGCGGCGACCAACGGCAAGGGACGTGATATCCGGCGGAAATTGCGCTGGCAAGTGCGTGTCGACGCAAAATCGCGTTCCCCAGAGGAAGGAGCGAAGAGACTTCTTCGGCGGTGTGTGTGCGGGCGACGTGGAATAGCTAATCTGCCTGAGTGCTACTATCGAGGGACGGTGCTGGAAGTGTGACAATGTGGAATGAGCGGTGCGGCTGGTGGGAATGCGCGTCGAGGAAGATGGGCCGGCGCGATATGAAGTGTTGGATGGACTAGCCGGTAGACTAGCCGGCATACCGGCTGTCATACTGAATGCGGCGCGGTGAAGCTTAAAACGCGGATGGAGTGTACTCTGAACGATGGAGGGGTAAGTCGAGGATGCTGACGAAGATGCAGCTGACGACGTAAGTGGGTGGCACGCGATTAAAGAGCGCGAGGTGATTAATGTCGGAGGGGTGACAAAAGACGGAATGGTCAGTCGAGTACCGATCGTCCGATCACAGGAAGCGCAAGCGGATCCAAGTCGCGACAATATCGAGGCGGGCGAGGCCGTCACTATCGAGGCGCGCGAGGCGGTCAGAATCGAGGCGCGCGAGGTTTTTAATACCGAGGCACGCGACGCCGAGAGAGAGCACGCCATCACTCCGAGAGATTTCGAGCCTGATCCTCTGAAACTCTTCACACCGCCAGCTGCGTTGCTCTCCGCGCCTTAGACGCTAGTCCATCTGGTAATAAGGATCTCCAAGGGACCACGGCGGATGGCTCCAGACCAGAACAGATGGGTGGCACTAAGGATCTCGAAAAATATAATATTATGAGCCTCGTTACTGCGTACAGTTATAAAAGAAATTGAACGGTCATGCTGTGTGAGTGTTATCAAATTTTCAAGTTTAGTACAGTTCAGACTCGACCAGGAATTACGGTTGTTGAATGGGCCAGGCAAGGAAGCAGCACTCGGTGCTGCTTGGTCCAACCAAAATCTGGTTTGATACAAACTGATTGAGGAAGGTTAAGAGCGGCACAGGCTGATTCACTGGGAAGCTTCTTTCCTTGATTGACTGACTGGTTCGCTGCCAAGCCTAGGAAAAATCTCTTAGAGAGGTGCGGAAGTCGGACCTGAGCCCGAACCGACGTGTGCTACGGCATTTTGCGGTGCACACCGCACGCTCGGAAACACCAAGGGGAAAGGTGGATGAAAAAACAAGAGATGAACCGCTCTCAATCGCATAAAAACGCATCTCACCGTAACAAAAGAAACTCTTGTGACGCTTCCTGAGGGACGTGCGCGCGCGCGAGGTGATGGGCAGCGGTAGCTAGCCCTCGAAAGGTCAGGCATATTCACATTTGTGACTCGCCCGCGCCGAACCCAACCTGGCGTGATGGTTTGGTGAGTGGCGTGGCAAATCGTGTGTCACACGGGGACTCACGACAACCGTCACCCAGGTCAGGACTCAGCAGGGGGTCAGGTCAGGATCAGCGCGTGAGAGTTTGCAAGGATTCCCAGAAGCAGGAATTCCGAGTCACTACTTTCCTCGCACGCCAAGCCATGCCTGCCTGTAGAGGACTAGTACAAATTCAGAGACTATTTCCGCGGGAGCTCGTTTCTCCCGCGTTCTTCAAGTGCAGTGATAGCGGTGTTCGTGCCGACAAAGCTGTTAATTATAATTAAACACTCTCCGCTCGCGCAATTGCATCGATCATTTCGTTTCACTTCCCAGCGAGAGCGGCACTGGTCCTGCCGACGAAGCGGTTCACATAGAAGCATTGACCGCTCACGCATTCCCGTGATACCTTTCGTGCCTTTTCCTTTGCGCGGAGAGTTCTGAGTCGACTTAGAAGTCACTTGCAATAGAAACTCCGTCCGTTCTCGCATTCGCGTCAAACCTTGTACTGTCTTCTCCTATGCGCGGAGAGCTCGGCATGGGGTGGGCCGCGCCGCGTCGTTCCGTGGCGTCAATATCCGCGTTAGTAGTCGCCGCTCTTCTCGTCAGCATACCTCCGAGGGTCTGTTTCGCGGCCACGGACCCCGCTCAAGGTAGGAAGATCCCACTCTCGTTGACAAAATCCTGGCTCGATTTTTATGACGGAGTGGTGACTGGCGGTTAACAACGGATATTTACCATTGTAGAGGAGAGTGTCTTAATGAGAACATAGTGTCTGCAGGTCGTTTTTGAGAGATTCAATTAACGACCTCTGAAATAACCCCCGTTCTGCTCCAGTGCTCTAGGGCACGGGTGTTATGCCTGGGAATTCAGAAAGTAGCGCGCGACTTCGCGCCAAGGGCTTAACCGTGAGGCTCGCGCTTTTTCTTCTGAAACCCCTACTTAGCTCCCCATGCATCGGGTTTCCGCAGGTGCTGTTTTTCGAAAATCTCTTGACTCTGCTCGGCAATCCCCATGTTCTTCTCGGCAATCCCTATGCTCTTTCGGCAATCTCTAAGCTCTTTCGGCAATCCCATGCTATTCTAGGCAATCCCTATGTTCTTTCGGCAATCCCTATGCTCCCTTCGGTAATCCTCATGCATCCACTGCCATCACGTCACCCCACAGTGGCCATTATGCAACAGATTGCGGGCCTGGGGAATGCTAATGACGCCAGACGACACGTGGAAGGGCATAACCCGTGCCACCTAACCCTATCTATCACTCTTGGGCTCCATTCCTTCATCCCACTTCCATCCTTTTACCATACGCAGTGGCCATTCTGCAGCAGCTTGCGGGCATGGGGAACGCTAACAACGCGCCCTTCAACACGTGGACGGGCGGCGACCCGTGTGGGGCGGCATGGGACGGTGTCAGGTGTTCTGCTGGCGGTGGCGGTTACAATGTGGTTACCGAACTGTGAGTGTAGCTGCGAGTGGTTTTTGAGTCGAATCAAGAGTCATGTGCTGCTTGGGCTGGCGTCAGGTGCTCTGCTGGTGGTGGCGGTTACGACGTGGTTACCGAACTGTGAGTGCCATTGTGATGGTAGGTTCCTCGAGTGTTGTTGCGTGAGTGTTGCTGCGATGTTTAACTGGTGCGCACGAGTGTAAGAGTGGGTGTAGTGTGTGAGTGTATCCGAGAGCGGCGATGCGATTTGCGCATGAGTGTAGGCGCATGTTCTCGACTCAAGAAGTGCTTTCATGCCTTTTTCATTCTCTCATCTCATCTCTATTTCCCACCTCCGTTGCTCCTCTCTCCCTCCTCCCACGCCTCCTCTCTCTCGCCGCCTTTCCCAGCTCGCGCCGCCTCCTCTGAAGGATGCAAGCTGACTGGCAGTCTGCTCCCATCCCTTCTCCCTCCTCCCATCCCTTCCCCCTCCCCCCCCCCCCCCCCCCCCCCCCCCCTCCCCCCCCCCTCTCCTTCCACCCTACCAGCTTTTTCCGGAGGCGAAACTGACTAGCACTTTGCTATTTGGGACGCCCCATAAGTCACCTTCTCTCTTCCCCCTCCTCCTCTCGCCCCTTCCTCTACCAGCATTTTCGAGGATGCAGAGCTGACTGGCACTTGGCCATTTGTGGCGCCCCAAAACTGACTAATTCGTTGTCCTCCCTCCTCCTCTCATCCCCTTTTAAGACGACGTCTCAAAACTGACAAATTCTCTCTTCCCCCTCCTCCTCTCGCCCCCTCCCTCCTCTACCAGCATTCTCGAGGATGCACAGCTGACTGGCACCTTGCCGCCCTCCCTCTTCGACCTCACAACCCTACACACGCTGTGAGCAAGCTCTCCCCCACTCCCTCCCTCCTCCCCTCTCCCTCTCCCTTCTGCTCCACCAACCCCCTGGCCAGTCATTTTTGAGAGTTCTCAAAAGTGATCCCAACAATGCCCTGCCGCCATTCTATTCGTCTTTACCTCATGGTGACTTTTGAGCTAAGTCGACTCAAAAGTCACCTCTAAAGCGACTCAAATAATGCCTTGCAGCCACTCGTCATCACCACCTCCAACCGAATCCACCCAATCACTTCTTGACACCCCACTTCCCCACCGTTTTCCCATCTTCCACCCTCTCACCCATTCCGCTCCAACCTAGACAAGAACCCAGGCCTCCAGGGCTCCTTTCCCCCGTAGCCATACATTCAGAATTGTCCCCCATTCCCTCCCCCTCCCTCCTCTACCACCACCACTTCTTTTCCAACCCTCCCCTCTTTTTGAGCTTTCTTCACCCCCCTGCCCCCCCCCCCCCCCAGCGACCCGGGCAAGAACCCGGCTCTGCAGGGCTCCCTTGCTTCACAGTCATGAGTGTTTGTCTCGCCATCCCCCACCCGATCACTCTCCCCCGGCCCCCTCCCTTCTCCGTCCCCCCTCTTTCCCCCCCCACCAGCGACCTGGGCAAGCACCCCGGCCTGCAGGGCCCCCTCTCTCCGCAGCCATTTGTTGTGTTCCATACCCCCACCTTCCTTCCTCCCCCACCCGCCCCCGTGTCCCCCTCTCTCGCCCCCTCCCCCTTGCAGCGACCTGGGCAAGAACCCGGGCCTGCAGGGCTCCATACCAACAACCATTGGGAACCTCGCGCAGCTCACTCTCCTGTAAGCTCATGGGCTTCGGTACTTGGCTGTGATGTGCTGTGTTACACTGCTGACTCTCCTGTAAGCGCAGCTGACTCTGCCCCGTGCCTTGCCTTATTTAATCCCTGTACCCCTGTGTCTCCCTGTGTACCCCTCTGTACCCCTCTTGTCGGGCGAATCTTTCCTTCCCCCACAGTAACCTGCAGGGCTGCAGTCTCTCAGGCCCCGTCCCCACTTCCATAGGCAATCTGACCCAATTAGTCTACTTCCTGGTAGCTCAGAACCAGTTTTCCGGACCTCTCCCGGACCAGTTCGGGCTGCTGCCGAACCTGTTTCAGATTGACATCATAGACAATCAATTCAATGGCACTCTGCCCACATTTGCTGGGGCGTCAAATTTAGTGCACCTGTGAGTATTGATCTCCCGACCTTTGAGTAGATTGAGTCTGATGTCACAGCCCGCTAGGCCAATTGAGTGTTTTGTTGTTGGTGTAGAGTTGGGTATGCAATCTTCTCGTTTCCACCCTCTCGCCTTTCTCCTTTCTCACCTCTCAATTGCTCTTTTCTCTTACGCATCCCACCATCCTTCCCAATATCCATCTTGTTATCTTTCCCCCTATTGCCCATCCCCCCATTTGCCCTCCCCGTGCCCATCTCCCTTCCATTCCGACCCTTATGCCTTCCCTTGTTGCTTCCTCCTCTCAACCCCCTCCTTCCGCTCCGTCCTCGCCCTCGCTCGTTCCCGCCTGCCACATGAGTTGCAATCGCCTCTCATCCATCTTTTCCAAAATCTAGTTTTAGGACATGGCATATACTCCCTCCAACCCCCTCCTTCCCCTGCCTCCTCTCCCCCCCTCATTCCCGCCAGGCACATGAGTCGCAATCGCCTCTCATCCGTCCCTTCCGAAATCGCCCAGCTGCCGAGCCTACAGCATTTGTAAGTCCCCTTGTGGAGCCTACTGCATTTGTGAGTCCCGTGCCGAGCCTACAGCATCGGTAAGTTCCCTCGCCAAGTTCACTACACTGCGAGCCTACAGCTTATCATGCTGCAGCCTTTTTGCATTTGTGCCGAACTGCTGGCTGCACTTGTCATCCCCTCTCTCCTCGTTACACGTTCCATATCACATCACATCACAGCCCCTCCTGCCCGTCCTTCCTCTTTTTCCTGCCACCAACCACACGGTGCGCACCGTGCCTTTCCTCTCGTCGTAACTGCCCCCATCCATGTGTACCCGGGGGCTTCTGAGTCAACTTAAGTGTCCCCATTCCTCGCAACTCACATGTTGCCATTCCTCGCAGGGGTTACTAACAGGGGTTATTGGACCAAGCTGATTTTTTTCGTTTATACCCCACTGCTCATGCCACAGTTATTGGAGCGGCAACACCATCACCGAGTCTCTGCCTTTGGTCTGGAATCTTCCAAACCTGAAGGACTTGTGAGTCCCTCCCCCCTCCCACACCACTTCTCAGAAACGTTTGCACATATTCCAAACCTGAAGGACGCACAAGGTTTCTTGCAACTCATTGTTTCTACAGAAAAGGAAAAAAATACATTGGCTTCTCTGTAGATCATATTGTTTGGAGGTCAACGTTCCTTTGTAAGCTAGGAGTAGATTTTCTTTCCATACGAGTCCTTGTCTTGGACGCTACGTCTACGTTTCTGTGTAAACACTCTTTCCCCCAACCCCATGCACTCGTCTCGTCATAACCGTGCATCCACCATGCACACACCCCGTGCACCCACCATGCACTCATCATCATTCATCCCCCATCCACCATGCACTCATCATACCCATGCATCCACCATGCGTCCCCCATCAATCCACCCATGCATGCAGCCTCGCCAGCAACTGCAGCATTCCAGCACAGGCGCTGCCATCCTTCCCCCAGTCCAAGGTCCTCGCCAATCTGTAAGTCCCTTTGTGCAATCTGTCTGTTCCTCCCCCAACCCTCCGCCCCTCTCTCCTCCTTCGTCTCTTTGCCGCTTCCTCATTCTTTTCCGCCTCCCGACTCTCTCCACTACCTTCCCACTTTCCCGCAGCAAAAAAAATCCGGAAAAACATCATAAACAGATGCCTCAGGTCCCTTGCCCCTGGCCTCATTGTGGCACATCAACTAGCTCTCCGTCTCCCTTCTTCCCTTCCGCCTCGTTCCAGAGACTTGAGTCAGAACAAATTTGGCGGGCCGGTTCCCGGCTCACTTTTCACCGACAAACCCCAACTTGGTCAACCTGTGAGTGGAGGAAGCAAACAGGCAACCTGTGAGTACAGAGAAAGACGCAAACAAAGAGGTTGTGAGTGCAGCACGCAAGGCAAAGGGTCAGTCCGGGGGTCCAGCAGCAAGCAAGCAGTCTAATCAGCCTGTGCGACTGGAAAGAACTAGTTATTGGCAGTTTGTTGGTAGCCACTTGTACTCATGTGGTCGTGAGCTTGTGACTAGTAGGAGCAGATTGCAAAGACGGATGTGGGTGCTGCACATGCTCTTATTCAACCAGCACAAAAAGTCCAACCTGAATTGACTTTTGAGTCGTCTCAAAAGTCAAAAGTCAACTTTTGAGTCGACTCAAAAGTCAACTCGGATGTGGGTGCTGCACCAGCACAAAAAGTCCAACCTGGGTTAAGGGTGAGGAAAGAGAGAAACATGAGATTGCTGGTAGTCCGTTTGCTTCCAATTGATTGTGGTCAATTCAAGTTTGAAATTAAGTGGTTGAAAACCCTAGGCACTCTAGCCACTCTCTCCCTCCATCCCCTTTTTCCCTCTCGCATCCCCCCTCCTTCATCCACCCCCTGTTCCTCTCCCTCCCGACCCCCCTCCTTTCTCCCTCTCAAACTCTCCCTTCCCAGCAACCTCGCCAACAACGCTCTCAAGTATGTCCCACTCTCCCTTCTCCCCTCTCCCCCCCTCCCGCATCCCTCCCCCCCTCCTCTCCCTCCCCAGCACCCTGGCCAACAACGCTCTAGAATATGCCCCACTTTCCCTTTTTCCCTCTCCCCCTCTCCCTCCCTCCCACATCCCTCCTCAGCAACCTCGCCAACAACGCTCTAGAGTACGCCCTCCCCGCTGACATCAACCAGGCAGCCAACCTGCAATCGCTGTAAGCCAACCTGCAGTCCTTGTGAGCCAAGCAACGCTGCCACCCAGCATGTGTACACTTCTCATGCGTGTAACTTGTAAGTCAGTCAGTCAGTCAGTCAGATCTGGCATCCAATGATCATACACAATCCGCCTCGTGAGGGTAATCAGAAGCCACTGTGGTTCTTATCTTGGTTCCTATCTCGTGGTTTTACACCGTTCTCCTCCTCTCACGCATTTTGTTCCGTGCCCCCTTTCCCCCCACTCCATACACCACACACCCACAGCTTCCTCTCGGGCAATCGCCTCACAGGCAGGCTGCCGGACCTCTCAGGCCTGAGCGGAGCCTTCTAAGGACATGCTCCTCTCCTCATTCTCCTTCCTGTGTACTTTCACTCCCCTCCCTCTATCTCCCAGCTTCCTCTCAGGCAATCGCCTCACAGGCTGGTTGCTGGACCTCCCAGGCCCGAGCAAGGCAGCGCACTCTCTTTCTACCACAACCACCTCACAGTCTCCTACTCTTTGCTCTCTGCACCTCCCTCACCCCCCCACAGCTTCCTCTCAGGCAATCGCCTCACAGGCAGGCTGCCGGACCTCTCAGGCCTCAGCAATGCAGTCTCCCTATCCTTCTACGACAACCTCCTCACAGGCCCTCTGCCCCGCCTCAACCGCTCCGACATCACCTTGCAGTGAGTGCCCTCCCCCCTCTTGCTGACATCACTCTGCGCTGCAGTGAGAACCCCTCTCCTCCTTTCCGTGCGCCCTTACTTGCTGATGTCACACCCTGCAATGAGTGCCCTCTCTGCTCTGCTGACGTCAGCAGCAGTGAGTGCGCTCTCTTGCTGACGTCACTCTGAGGCGCGTGCTTCCCTTGCTGACATCACTCTGCTCTCCAACTGCTCTGAAGTACACCGTTTTTGCCTCTCTTACCTCTCCCCTCTCCCCTCCCCCCAGGCTATACGGCAACCCTCTCTGCTCGCCCTACACTCCGGAAAAACAAGCCGCCTACTCCCCCCCAGCCGACCTCACGCAGTACACCGCACCCTCCTTCTGCTGGGGCCTTTCCCGTCAGGGCTTTGCTTGCCAAGGGGACCTCTACAGCCCCTGCTGCACCTGAGGCTGCTTTACAGCATACATATTTTTCCTCTCTTCCCTACCCATCCCTTCCTTCCTCCCCTCCCCGCCCTTCCTTCCCCCTCCTCTCTCTCCAGGCTATACGGCAACCCGCTCTGCTCGCCCTACACTCCCGACAAGCAAGCCCCCTGCTCCCCACCGGCCGAGCTCACCCAGTACACAGCACCCTCCTTCTGCCAGGGCCACCTCTACAGCCCCCCACCTGTGCCTGAGGCTGCTCTGAAGAGCACAAGCTTTCCCTCTTCCCCATCCCCTCCTCTCCGTCCCCACCTCCCCATCCTTCCCCCTCCTCTCCCTCCAGGCTATACGGCAACCCTCTCTGCTCGCCCTACACTCCTGACAAGCAAGCCGCCTGCTCCCCACCAGCCGACCTCATGCAGTACACCGCACCCTCCTTCTGCCAGGGCTTCGCCTGTGAGGGCGACCTGTACAGCCCCAGCATGCCGCTCTTTCAGCAGTCCAGCCTCTGCATCTGCGTGTCGCCACTGCGCGCTGACGTGGCGCTTTACCTGTCGTCCTACGTGGTGTTTAATCAAGCGCTTGTGGATCGGCTCGAGGAGATTCTGTTTCAGGAGCTGGTTGGCGGGAAGTTTGGGCTCAATATCACCAAATCACAGGTGAGCCTTTCGATTTGGTAGGTAGCCTTGTACTGAAGTGTATATTGCATATCGTGCTTGAGGGGCTTCGCTCCCCTTCCCCAACTCCTTCCTTCTCACCCTTCACTCCCTTCCCCCTACCCTCTCTCCCTCCCCTCCCCTTTCCCGCTCCCCTTTTCCCCCATTCCCCTCCCCCCACCCAGGTCCTTGTACCAGCCATCAAGAGCCCTTCATCCCTCCCATCATTGGCTCCCTCCTTTGCATCGGACCACACCACACACGAGTCCACCACCACCGTCTCACCCCCCTTCCCTTCCCCCTGCCCCGTACCCCTCCCCTCCCCCAGGTGCTAATTTCAGCAATCAAGAGCCCCTCCTCTCTCCCCTCCCTCGCCTCCACCTTTGCATCGGACCACACCACCCACGAGTCCACCACCACCGTCTCCATCCTCTTCTTCCCTCCGGTCGGGGACGACAGCTGGTACCCGCGCGACCTCCCAAAGGGCATCAAGCAGGCACTCTCGCTGCGCAACACCGATCCCACGCAGCAGATGAATCTGAGTGAATTCGGGTCGATCCTCTCTGTGCACTTCCACGGCCCTGCGCGTGAGTGGGCTGGATGGGTGGTTTGGTTGCATCTGCTCTGTAGAATCAGGGGTTGTAACTTGTACCTCCCAAAGGGCATCAAGCAGGCACTCTCGCTGTGCAACACTGATCCTACGCAGCAGAGAACTTGAGTGAATTCGTGTCCATTCTGTCCGTGCACTTTCACGGCCCCGCTCGTGAGTTGCCTGGGGGTTTCTTTCTCTTTTTCTTTTTATTATTTTCCTGTATTTTCTTTCTTTGCCACCACTGTTTGGTTTGGTGGAGCCTCGTGGGCTGAGCACAGTCGCCAATGCGGCCGTCTCAGCGTCCCTCTTCCTCTCTGTGCGTGTTTTTAGTCGACTCAAAACCCGCTTCAGTTTCTCTCTCTTCTTCTCTGTGTGCCCTCTTTCAAATCCAATCATCCACCCCACAGCCTATACCCCCTCACTGCAGCATTCATCATCAGGGCTGGGCACAGGCACCAGCTTGGCCATCTCAGTCTCTCCTCTCTCATCCCCTTCGTTTTTCCCTTCGCCTGCGTTTCCTTTCCCTCCTTTCCCTTCTTTCCCCCCTTCCAGTTACAGCCTACAACCCCCCATTGCAGCCGGCCTCGTCTGGGCTGTGCCACGTGGCCATCTCTGTGTGCTCTCTTGTCACTTCTGTCTTCTCCTTCACCTGTGTTTTCCTTTGATCCTTCTCTTTTAAATCACAGCATACAACCCTCCATTGCAGCCGGCCGCATCGGGGCTGAGCACGGGTGCCATCGTGGCCATCTCTGTGTGCTCCGCTGCTGTTGCCATCGCCCTCATCGTTGCTCTGCTCATGCGCCCATGGGAGAGACGAGGTGAGTGGGAGAAGGGAACTGAGAGGGAAACGAGAGGCGAATGGGAGAAGGGAGGTGGGAGAGAGGAAGTGAGGGGAAAGAGAGAGGTGAGAGGAGGGGAGAAAGAGTGGTTGTGAAGGGTAGGGATGATGTAGAAGCTCATAGTTGTTGTGCCAAGAGTTTGCAGCGAGGGAAAATGGAAGCTAATGGTAAATCTGGTTTCTGAGAACTATGCGGACTAGAGGCACTGGAGGGCATAAACCTGCAGCAGGCTTGTTGACCTTCCCCCCTCCTTCCCTCCATAAGCTCTCGAGCCTTAATTTTACATTCATGCCTCTTCCCCATTCCCCCTTCCCCAGGGTGGAGCAATGCGGACTTCGAGGCACTGGAGGGTATCACCCAGCAGCACGCCTGTTGACCTCTCCCCCTCCCTTCCTTTGTCACCCGCTCATCCCCCCCTGTCCCTCCCCTCCCTCCCCTCCCAGGGTGGAGCAATGCGGACTACGAGGCTCTGGAGGGCATCAACCTGCAGCACGCGCGGCGCTACTCGCTGTGGCAGCTGGCAGAGGCAACCCATGGGTTCGATGACTTGGCGGTTCTGGGAGAGGGAGGGTTCGGCACGGTAAGAATAGCGCAAGAGTGAATATGGAAAGGCATTTTCTGGAGGGAATGTGAAGGAGGGTTTGGCATAGTAATATTCGCTGTAAGAGTGGATATGGAAAGCTAGTGTTTGAAGGGCATCAACCTGCAGCACGCGCAGCGCTACTCCCTGTGGCAGCTGGCAGAGGCGACTCATGGGTTCGATGACTCGGCCGTGCTGGGAGAGGGAGGATTTGGCACGGTAAGTGTGAGAGGGAGAGGCTTTTCTTGCGTTTTTTTTTTTTAGGAATTTAATTGGAAGGATTGGAAGAATTGCTGTTGTTGCTTTCTTCTTCTTCTTCTTTGTAAGCCATGTCGGCAGATATTTTTCCCCCATTCCTCCTACCTAGGTGTACCGGGGAGTGCTGAACGGTGAGCCGGTGGCGATCAAGAAGGCGAATGAGAAGCGGCGGCACGACGGGGTGGATTTCAAGAACGAGATCGAGATGTTGACGGCGGTGTCACACGGCAACCTGGTGAAGCTCACCGGCTTCTGTGTGGAGAAGGACGAGCAGCTGCTGGTGTTCGAGTTCATGGAGGGGGGGGCTCTGGATGCTTGGATCAAAGGTGGGTTCACATTGGGTGTAGCGTGGTTGTGTGCGGCTGGGAGCGGTTGGGTGCGGTTGGGTGCGGTTGAATGTGTGGATCAAGGATGTTTGTTCTGTGTGGAGAAGGATGAGCAACTGCTGGTATTCGTGTTCATGGAGGGGGGGGCTCTGGACGCCTGGATCAAAGGTGTGTGTGGCTCCCACTGGATCAAAGGTGGGTTGACGCTGGATTGTTGAGTGCAAAACGTGGTTCGCACGTCAACCTACCGCCTATTTGCCGACGGTAAAGGAAAATGAAGTGTTACGTTTAAAGGTATTTTGTGGAGTTTGAGGATCGCATTTGTGTGCTTTACATTTGTACGTTTACGGTTTGTGAATCGCTTTAGCGATTCATAAGTTATGTGCATTTTTTGTGTGTCAGTGCATTTCATGAATGTCCATGAAAGCGCATGAAAGTTCGTGAGTTTCGGCAAGTTCGCGTGAGTTCGCGAGTGTTCATGAGCTTAAGTGTGTGTGCATTATTTCTCATATGCTTTTGTGGATTTCCATGAGAGTTCATGAGAGTTGATGTTTTTTGTGGGTTTTAGTGAGTGGCGAGTATTTTGCCACGTTGACCGTTTCGCGCTGGTCGAGGTGAACTGCGCGCGAAAGTCAAGACCCGTGTGTGGGGTCCTGACATGATCGTGTGGCCCCTCAGGGCTCGCGCTTGTGCCGTCGCACTGTTGCGAGCATGGCAGGACCCACGATCGCACTAGGACTGGGCACTTTATGGCCCTGTCCTGCGCAGGACAAAGCGTGATCACGTCAGCTATTCGCATTTCCTATTTGACCGAGGGTGCTCGGGATTTCGGTTGAGAAACCGTATCCCGCGCTGACTTGGGAAACATGAAATTTCGCCAGAAAGTCGCGCTATTTTGCGTGATGACTTCGTTTAAGGTACCAAAAAGTAAATGCTTTTTTACAACGGTAAATTCCATTTTACAAAGGAAAACTGTATTCCCACACGAGCCTTAAAGCTGTCGCCTACATACCTGGCGGGAGAGGCTCTGGTTTATCACTTGAAAACCAGGTAGCCTTCTGCTTCCGTGGCGAGGCTTGTTTCCCAGTTTGTGACAGCACAACCCCCGCTTGAAATTTCCCTGCTCATGATTGGCTATAAAATTTCGCCAATCCCCTCCCCAACCCAACCTCATGAAATGATCGCGGAGTCGTCGAGGGTTGTTTCCCAACCGAACTTCCTCACGAAACTGGCGGAATTCGCCAGTTTCGTTTGGCTCCCTCGCACCTACTGATTCTGGAAGATGGTCATTCGTAAACAAATCAGCGTGCGTCGTTGGGTGTGTGTCGTAAACAACCCCCAAAAATACCCCGATGAATGTAGACCGCCGCTGTAATGAATACTCATGGGATTTCATAAGGATAGTTAATCTAAGAAAGCGGATCAAGCCAAATGCAGCTCAAATTTGACAACCGTTTTACCAAGACAACATGTCGAAGTCCAAAATTATAGTTTAATAACTGTTTGGTGTTTGTTTTGTGTTTGTATTTGCTCATGCATTAGTAGTTCTATAAATATGTGCTTGTATTAAGCTGTATCAATCTTTTGTAATCCGTTGACGAGTGAAAATATTCTCTATCGATGTATGACGCGAGGAGAATTTTCTGCACACGAGCTTATTAATCATCTAACGTTTCCGAATAAGTTTGGGAATGCTCTAATGCACACGATGGTTTTCATGGTTAGGGAAATCCTCTACAAACATGGACCATTGGATAGGGGCTGGTTCTACCAGGCTCCCAAGAATCCTTAGAGGTGACCCTGTGGAAACTACTTTGTGTGGATTAAAATTGTGCTGAAGAGCTTCTAAGTCCCAAATAGCTGTCAACATGGATGCTGTGCAGTTGCGGTTGAATGGACAAGTGTAATTAGGGATTCGTGCACTTTTCCTTGCCGTCTTGCCACGGTTTTTGTCTTGTACATTCTTTTCATTCACACTTACCCCTCATTCACTTCCTGATCGTGTGCTGTGCAACCTACTTGCTTTACTTACGTGAACAGGAAAGACGGGGCGCGTTCTATCGTGGAAGGAGCGGATGCGGATTGCTCTTGATGCGGCGAGTGCGCTTCACTACTTGCACAAGGAGATGAGACCCGGCATCATCCACCGTGATATCAAGGTACGCTGCCATACGGTACCAGCTCTGGATATGTTTGTCAATATCTATAAAAAGAGTATATGGTACCATTCACTCGCACAAGGAAATGAGGCCCGGCATCATCCACCGTGTAGGTAATTTGGAAATGTCAGGAAGCCGTGTGTAACCAACCACTTGTAACAATTTTTTTGCAATGTGTCAAAGCTTATTTGCTTGTTACCATCATCAAGGTTTGCAGCCATTCTTGTACGTACATCATGCATCTACCTCCATTCCTTTCCTTTGTAATAGTATTTCCACCGTTCTTAACCTGATAACATCTTTCTTTTGTCTTTTTCCTCCCCCTTCCTTTCCCTCCCAGCCGGCCAACATTCTGCTGACAGCATCTCTGGAAGCCAAGGTGGCGGACTTTGGCATTTCCAAGTCGCTGCAAGAAAAGGGAGAGCTGGTGCAGGAGGAGATCATCGGAAGCAAGGTGAGATTATTGAAACCACATGCTCAATAAACTGTGTGTGGGTATGTGTGTGTGTGTGCATGTGTGCGTGCGTGCGTGCGTGCATAGCCTGTTCCACGATTTGTGAGTCTAACTGTGGGTTTTTTTTTGTTTTGTCCATTTCTGTTGGGTTTTTTTTGTCTTGTCCATTTCTGTTGTGTGTGTGTGTGTGTTTTTTTTTTTTTTTTTTTTTTTTTTTGGTCAACCTTTGTCAGGGCTACATCGATCCGCACTTTGCGGTGTCAGAGGTGCTGACGGAGCGCAGTGACGTGTTCAGCTTCGGGGTGGTGCTGCTGCAGCTGGCCACGGGGCAGCCGCCCGTCATTCAGGGAGTGCCGCTCAGCCAGGTCGTGCTGCACCTCGCCTTCGGCCCGCAAGGCCTCTCCGCTGCTGTCGACCCCAAACTCTCCCACTTCCTCCGCGCCCGGGGGGATCCCACTGCTGCTGCTGCTCCTGCTGCTGCCTCCGCTGCTGCTGCTCCAGCTGCTTCTGCCGCTGTTGCAAAAACTAGCTCTACTGGTGCTGCTGCCGCTGCTGCCGCTGCCGGTGCTGCTGCTGCGGGTGGGGAAGTGAGTGCAGGGGAGATGGTGGAGGGGTTGGAGGAGACGTTCGCCACGTTCCTGCGGGTGGCGCTGTGGTGCACGGCAGAGCACCCATCGCTTCGTCCCGACATGGAGCAGGTCGTATCTGCGCTGCGCAGCATCAGGGACCAACTCAGGGCGCTACCTGGGGGAGGCGCTGCTGCTGACGGCTCACTTCCCCACCATGCTGGCAGTGCAGCAGCAGCAGGTGCAGGTGCAGGTGCTGCTGGTATTGTGGGACCTGCAGGAGCAATCCCTAGCGGCGCCAATGGTTATAACGCAGCTGCTGGTAACCAGCGAGGTTCAGCAGCAGCAGGGTTCAGCCCAGGGGGGAGATCTCCTGAGACTGGGCTCACAGGGGCACCGTCTAGTATGACCACTCTGTGGAACCCCATGGGGGATTCTTCGTCCGGTCAACCCGGGTCAAACTGGTCAAACCTGGGTGAGGAGCAGACGACGTTGATGGACGGGTATGACGACACAGGCACACAGAACCACACGTTGACGGGGCCGCGTGCCCGATAGGTGCGGCTTTTCTGGTAAACTAGGATCAACCACGGTCAAACCGATAGGTTATCTTGGAACTCATTTGCTGATCATTCATCTGCTGCGTAGTGCAGTTTGTACATTTGTGTGCGTGCGTGCTTGCGTGGGTGGGTGTGGATGTACCATTGAAGTATTGCACTCACTTGACGAATGTAACACAAGGCTTGTTTGATTGTGACAACCCTTTGCGAGGTAACCTGCCCTAATCCCGCTGCTTCGCGACACACAATTCACAACACTCCCTAGCTCACAACCCTTCGCAAAGCCCGGTTACTGTTAGGCTGAGAAAAAGCCCTTAGGATATTTTCAAGGCTAAACTCTGAGTAGAGGTGTTGTATTTGCGGAAGCGTTTAGTAACAAGTGTTGAACCACCTTGCGCTAGTTTGTGAGGGCAAGATAGATTGATTAAAGCAAGAAGATACAAGGTTTTATAAGAGTACAAGGAATATGAAAGGATACAACTAATAACCATTTTACTGTTGCTGTTGCGGTTCGATACAGTGACGACTCGGGCAACTGCTCAATAACGAGTCAGTTGTTTGTCCTTGCTGTCGCGCTGTATTTGTCAAGTCGAAGGTCGCTAACCTTTGACCTTCGCGTAACCTCAAGCAGTTACTTCTCTTGTCAACCTCCGATGGTTTGACTCGTCGTTGTTCTTCTGTTGTTCGCCTCGTTTGTAGTTCGGTGTTGTGACACATAAGAAGCGTTTAATTAATTGTTTCCAACACTCCCCTTCGCTTCTGGAGTGTCGCTGCTGGTGACGTGACCTTATCCAGTCAGCAGCATGCAGTACTCGAATTTCTGTTTTTCGAGCTTCTTGGTCAAATAGTCGGCTGCCATCTCGGTCGTGGGACAATAAGATAGCTCAAGTATCCCCTTCTCGATCTCGTCTTTCACGAAGAAGTATCGCAGGGCAAAATGCTTCGTTCGGTTCGCGAACCCGTTCTTGTTCGCTATGCAAATTGCAGATTGGTTGTCGCAGAACAGAGAGAAGTTGGGTAACTGGGCCAACTTCGCTTCTTCCAGCAGTTCGAAAAGATACAAGCCTTCCTTGGTGGCTGAGCAGAGTGCAATATATTCTGCTTCAGCTGAGGAGAGAGCGATTAGTTCCTGCTTGCTCGACTGCCACGAGATAGGCCCGATAGGTTCGAGTCGGTAGATGTAGCCGGTGCGCGAACGCATGTTGTCTGCGTCGTCGGCGTGGTCGGCGTCTACATAGTGGATTAGCTTAGGTGTCGAGGTTCCATTTTTGTGGTAGGTCAGGCCGATTGTCGGGGTGCTGACGAGGTAGTGGAGTGTGCGGTGGAGTTCCGCCATGTGCTTGTCAAAACATATGCATAATTGTATCTAGGCTATATTGGGGTTAGCCTTAGGGGGTACAGAAATAGTCTCGACACTCTAGTCTTGTACCCCAATCTTGACCTAATCATCATTCTCGTTCTTTACTCACCTAGCTAGTGATTCTAACATGGTATTAAGAGCACAATGCTCCTTAGGACCGAATTTTTAAAAGGGCCCACCACTACTATTTCGATCTACTGCCCGAGCCGCGCCCCTAGGAGAAATGCGAAATTCGAAACCGTGCTCTAGGCGAGACGGTTCCCTAGACGCGATTTTCCCTCCTAGTCACGTGCGACCCCCCCCTGACCGCGCCCTAGCTGCCAGTACAGCCCGCGTAGGCTCGTCGCGAAGCCCGTACAGCCCGCGTAGGCCCGTCGCGAAGCCCGTACAGCCCGCGTAGGCCCGTCGCGAAGCCCGTACAGCCCGCGCCAGGCCGTCGCGCAGCCCGTACAGCCCGCGCCAGGCCGTCGCGCAGCCCGTACAGCTCACGTCAGGCCCGCACCCAGCGCGTAAAGCCCGCGCCAGGCGCGCACGCAGCCCTTACAGCCCGCGCCTGGCCCGCACGCGGCCCGTGTTATTGCTACTCACTGCTGCTGCTACTGAAGCTAGTGCTGCTACAGCTAGTGCTACTGCTGCCGCTGCTACTACGGCACTTGCTACAGCTACTATTGACTGAAACTACTCCAGCTACAGCTAGTGCTACTGCTGCAGCTCCTACTACTGCACTTGCTACAGCTACTATTGACTGAAACTACTCCAGCTACAGCTAGTGCTACTGCTGCAGCTCCTACTACTGCACTTGCTACAGCTAGTGCTACTGCTGCAGCTCCTACTCCAGCGCTTACTGCAGCTGCTCCTGACTGAAGCTACTGCTGCTACAGCCCCTGAAGCAGCCGCCCCTGGTGCAGCCGCCCCTGGACCCTCGAGCAGCCGCCCCTGGACCCAGAGCAGCCGCCCCTGGCCCCTGAAGCAGCCGCCCCTGGTGCAGCCGCCCCTGGACCCAGAGCAGCCGCCCCCGACCCCTGAAGCAGCCGCCCCTGGTGCAGCCGCTTTGCACGCCCTCGCGTGCCCCTAGCGTACCGGCCCCGCCCCACTAGCCTGCCCTTGCTGGCCCCGTGAGACCAGGCCCCGCCCTACTCTGCACGCCCTCGCGTGCCTCCCCCCGCGCAGCCCTGCCCTTGCAGCCCCGCTTGCACCCTGTCACACCCGAGCCGCGCCGCCCAGCCGAGCCGCGCCGCCCCACCGAACCGCGCCGCCCTGCTAGAGCCGCGCCGCCTTCCCGAGCCGCGCCACCTTACCGAGCCGCGCTACTGCTCCTACTGCAACTATGGCTAGCCCTACTGTGCTCGCTTTCGATGCTGAGGGCCGCCCACTGAAATTTGACACCTGGCTCGATGACCTGCACCTTTTCCTCCAACTCACTGCTGTTATAGTCACAATAGGCTTGAATGTGCCTAAAACGAAAGATAGAGAGCACAGACGGATTTCTGCACAGCAGCTTCAAACGTTGATAACGTTCTGCTCACAGCTGCAAATGACCTGATTCAAATTGGATCTGGAGCGTCTTCACGTCGTCTACAATTAGCAATTTAGATTGCACGATTTGATAAAGAATTGACGACACAGCGTCGGTTTGAACGAACGGTACTATGGCAGCCACTATAGTCTTAGAACACAAGATAGGAAGAGTTACGAGTTGGGAATGACTCCCAGCTCCTACAAACCCCAAGAGCCGAGGTACAGTGATGTGGAACAGTGCCACACTGTCCCCAACCACGAAGGGTCTCGAAACTACCCTTCACTAGGGCCTACACCAAGTGAAATGTTACACTACACAAAGTAATGTAAATATCTTCAATATCTTGAGGTGTACCCTTTTTGGCGAGCTTCGAAATCACTTGAGGCTTGACACCAAGGCTCGGGCTCTTCATCACAAACTCATCCTTGAGTTCTTGATGGGTCTGCTGCACACACCTGCGACACGCCGAACGTTCGACACAGGACAACATAGAAACCGCGCACGACAAAATAGAAACCGCGCGCGAGACACAAACGACCGCGTAACACGCGTCTAGCGATAACTCGCTATTGACTCGACACACACACTCGACATCATGACTCAACATTCACACACAATTATAAGCATGAAATATATATTATCCCATGCCCTCATACCATTCCATACACACACACATTCACGCACACGGACAACAAGCCGAGTGCAAACCGTAGGGTTGCACCAACAACTGCCAAGGAGGATATTTCACTGTACGATCACGCGCTAGGACACGCTGCTGCTCCTGCTGCCACTGCTGACAGCACTGCCCGTTCACAGTAGCAGACTCGTGACGCCCACGCTCGCTTCGCTATTCGCAACTCCCTGCCGATAGATGAACGCGAACACTTTGGCCAGCACAAGACTGCACAGGCACTGTACACTGCTGTAGTCGCACGCTACTCCTCACCCGCCTCTGCTGCGCTAGGCCGTCTCTCACTCCCCTACCTGTTCCCAGACCTGTCCGCTTTCTCCACAGTCGTTGACCTCATCACGCACCTCCGCTCTAGTGAGGCCCGCTTCCGTGCCGCTATGCCCGCTGAGTTTCTTGCCAAGAACCCCCCCCCGCTGTGGCTGACGCTCTACCACCTAGTCACCCGTCTCCCTGACTCCCTTCGTGCTGTTAGGGACCACTTCCTCGCTCGCTGCCCCACTGAGCTCACCATTGACCTCCTCGAGAAGGAACTGTTTGCAGCTGAGGCTAGCATAGTCGCTGTAGGTACCTCTCGTGGCGACCCCCGCACCCCTTTCTTCGAGGGGTGTTCCCCTTCCCCCCTCCTCCCCTCTGTCGCCTCTGCTGCTGCTGTCGACCTCCTAGGTACTGAGCAGGTCGGGACTGCGTCCACTCCGAGTGGACGCCGCAGCGGCAAGGGCAAAGGGGGCAAGGGAGGTGGTGGTGACGGCGGGGGAGGCGGTGGTGGGGGTGGTGGCTGTTGGATGCACGTCATTCTGAGTGCATGTCATCCTAACGTCCTGCCGAGTGCTCGTGCTATTCATGCGTGCATTGTTTGCATGAGCATATGTCATTGTGCATGGCTGTTGGATATTTTCATCTCTGTGTTTTTTCTCCAAGTTTAAATGCTTGATCATGCAGGAGAAATCCAGAGCTTTCCAACGATACCAAGATCGCCTTATTCCGACCAAGATCGCCTTATTCCGACCAAGATCGCCCAAGTTACAAGATTTCCAAGTTTTGGGAATTCTATCTCATTTTGAGATATTATCTACATTAGGGTGATTATTGGGTCATGGCTATAAAGGGATCTTTGGTTGGGTGGTTAGGAAGGCAACTTTGACTTTTGGATTGGGGTGGCTAGAAGTTTCTAGCATGGGTTGCAAATGTTGCAACACCTAGGCAAAATCCAACTAGATTGGATTTTGCATGTGACACCTCAAGGACCTCATGATGAGGGTTGCATCCTTGCTGCTAGGAAGGTTCCTACCATCCTTCCCTAGCTCTTGGAGAACCCTTTCCCTCTCATGGTTCTCTTGGAGGTTCCCAACTCCAACTTCCTATGCCCTAATGCTTGTACTTCCTCCACCTTTCTAGTCATGCAGCTGCTGAACGTTTTCAATTGGTTCT